CGAAGGACACAAATTGTGGCAGAAGTTATTGTGGTTGTGGGTCATTCTAGGATTCCAAAAAGAACAAAAATTAGGTGTTGCTCTAACTCAAAATCTATACCTATGAAAATTAAATTAGAGTAATTATGCAGAACAACAATATTTAGCCTATACTAGGTTCCAGAGCTACAGTTTAAGAAAATTATAATTTGCGGCTACTGCTTCCCTAATTCTTGTTATTCGCCTGATTTGTATAAATTCAGAATTTTGTATATGCTTAACCTAGCTATTTGTATACTGTTTTTGAAAAAATCATAATGAATTACCCTATTTGTATATTGGCAAGCGAAACATACAAACGGAGTTCTAAAACATTCATAAATGTTTAAATACATAATTTGTATATACTTACCCTATTTGTATATTCACAAGCGAAATATTCAAACCGTAGCCTCCATAGCAAACGAAACTATACTTATGGAGCGCCATTGAAACTGTAACTATAGAAAAAAAAAAAAAAAAAAAGTGAAGGTAGTGCACTAGAAAGGTTGGTGAAACAGGGTTTTGGGCTTGGTAGATTGGTGGTCCACTAGAAAGGTCACTGGGTTTCCTTGCATGCAGTTGGGCCCAATTAATGATAGATTGTCTATGGGCTCAAAAGTAATGAAAAGGCCCATTATCATCACATCAATTGTCCAGACTCCTTGTTACTTCTACTGGGCCTTTGAAGGTCCATGGGCTGAAACAAGTGTTGTTTTTGCATTTCAGACAGGAGGGAGTATTGTTAATGTAAACAAGAAATCTTCTTCTTAATATTCACGGTGAAAATCCAGGTAGCTAATTAACTTAAACATTAAATTTTTTATTTTACTTGTCACTATTAACATATTAAAAAAATAATATATTATTCTTTCTCATGTTTTACCCTTAGCACTAATTATTTATTTCTCAAATTATTTTCCAAGACTTCCCTAATCTAAACATCAATTTATATGATTATGATTAAATCCCCATATCAATCATTGTTTCTTAACATGCAAAGTTCAAAATAAATACTCTCTCTGTCACTATTTATTTGTTAAACATTTCCTAATTTGATTTTCCCTCTAACTTGTCATTTTTCACAAATTAAGGAAGGACAATTTAATTTTTTTTATTATATCCTCAATTTATTAATATTGAGTTAATATTTTTTTTAAATATACTGAATAAATATATTTGAGTTCCTATCAATTAATAGGAGCAAAATAATAAATTTACCATATCAATTAATACTTTTTAAATAGGTATGCTAACTCAAAATTTGACAAAAAAAAAATGACGGACTGAATTAACAAAAAAGTCAAAGAAAAGGACATGAAGTCTATAACTGAAATTTGAAACGGACAGTTCGATTCCTTGAACTTTTGAGGGAACTGAACTTTACATTGAATTTGACAAAAAAAAAAAACACTCATTACCACGCTATAAATTTATGAAACACTCACAACAAAAAGGATAGAGTAAACTCAAAAAAGAAAAGAAAAAAGGAGTTGTAATGTGAATTCACAATGATCAATAAATAAATGGGATAAAGGATCTAAAAATATCCCAATTTTGGTCGAATTTGTTGTTTCGATACTAAACTTTCATGAGGACCTATTACCTCCCTAGACTATTTAATATCATATTTTAAACATATATATTTGCTCACGTGGACATAAAAAATAATACAAAATTATAAATAGTAATGTGTCCATGTGGGCACATATATACCTTTAAAATATATTATTAAATAGTTCGGGGGTAAAAAATACACTATTAAATAGTCTAGGAAGGTAATAAGTCCTTATGTAAGTTTAGTATCGCAACAACAAATTCAATCAAAGTTGGGTATTTTTCAGACTCTTATCCCTAAATAAATTTATGATGATTTTTTACACGTAAGTGTATCATAATTATTGTGAGAGCTTCTTATTTACCTCTAAATTCTTCTTGTTTTTTCATCTTCCCTTTTCCCACTTTTAGGAAAAGAAATTCTTGTGCTAGAAGACAATTAAAAGAAGTTTCATCACGATAAAATCCCACGATTTTATTTTTTTTATAATAAGAATGATATAGGGATGAGTCATGTTAAGCATGGACAAATAAAAATAAATAAAGAGAATAAAAATTACGAGTAATATAGTAAATTTTTTTATTTTTTTTAAGAGGTGTATCGAGATATGTACAAATAAACATGGAAGAAAGGAATAATGTATATGAATGCATACTTGTGAGCTAAAACTTCAATCATTTTTTTTTTTAGGGTGATTGTTTTATTGATTTTTTCACTTTCAAAATATCTAATATAAAGAAAAAGTAAGAAAAAACTATTTATTGGAATTCAAATCAAAGTCTTCATTCGTTTTTGTAAAATATATGAGAACAAACTACACATATTTAGAAAAGATTTAAGTTATATATATACATTAACTAATAGAGGAAAGCAAACGTATATTATTAGTGCTATGTTTAATTAGTTTAGTTCTATTTTGAGGTCTAACTATAAAAATTATCTATTATTTAGTTATATTTTGAGGTTTAACTATAAAAAATATCTATTATTGCGAGTTGATTTAATGTAATGGTGATATGGTGTGAAAATAGAATCTATAGAGTGTTAAGTTTAGGGAAGTCAAAAGTTTTTTGGTTTCTTTTAAAAATATTTATTTTAAAGTTAATGTTCGATCAAATTCTAACTGAAAAATAAGAATATATGATGGTACTAGAAATTATTGTTTGAAAATCTAAAATAAAGTTTTTCTATGCTAACACTTTTTGAAAGTCTGATCAAATTCATATTATTACTTTAATATTGAGAAGGTATTTTTTAAAACATTGATTAATCAAATATAAATTGATACTTTCGGAAAAAAAATACTTTCCTCCAAATTAGTGTTTTTTTAAAATAAAAGTTTGATCAAACAAGCTAGCAAATTTAAATGAAAAACAATATATTCATATATGCACGTGACCTACATGCACGTCAGAAGCACCGTTACTATCTCCTACACGTAACGTACTCTCTCAAACCCCTTTTACTTGTCATTGTTGTACAATAATTAAGGTACTCAGTCAATTTTTTATTGAAAAAAAAAGTATATACAATAGTAGCGGAAACTAAAGTCTGATTAAATATATATTATTACTTTAATATTGAGGAAGAATTTTTAAAAAATTGTCTAGTCAAATATAAATCGATACTTTAAAAAATACTTTATCAAAAAAAACTTTTTTCCAAATTAGTGTTTTTTTTTAAAAAATAAAATAAAATAGGTCAAACAATTTATTAAATTCAAATAAAAAACAACACTTTCACATCCGCACGTGACGTACGTGCACGCCAGAAGTACTGTTATTACCTCCAACATGTTACGTATTCTCTCAGTTTAATTTTACTTGTCATTGTTATATTTAAGTAAAAGAGGGTAAAGGCACTCATGTCTTATTCGACGTGTGTGAATTTTGAAATTAAAATCGTATTAAAGGGCACTTTTGTCATTTAAATATTTAAAATAAAAATTATTATAAATCATACAATTAACAATCATATATATATATATATATTAAAAAAAAAGAGAACCTTAAGTCCGTCTACATGGCGCCACCACAAACCAAAATTCCCTGTTAATTTATTTATTTTTAAAACTGGTCTTCCTTTTTCATGAAAAGTTGTGACTTTTAAGAAAAGTTCTGACTTTAATGAAGAGTTGCGACTTTTATGAAAAGTTGTGACTTTTATGAGAAGTTGTGACTTTTATGAAATGTTGTGACCTTTCCGAAGGGTTGCAACTTTTCCAAATAGTTACAACCTTTCTGATAAGGCAGAATAAACATTTGTTCACACTACCCTTTATTGTCTATAAATAGAGGGATTTCCTGTCATTTTAAAATAACAAAAACTCTGAACCTCTTCTTCTTCACAATTAAATAGTTGTGTACTTTGCTCTTGTTGAGTGACTCACTGACACCATTGCTTATGTTACAGATCCTGGTATGTATTTTTATAATCATTAATTTATGCTTATGTTATTAAGGATAAATGATAAGATATAATAATTTTCATTTTCCTTTATTTTATTAATGTTTGTTACTACGCAATCTTGTATGTAAGATAATATAATGTTTTAGTTTTAATGTCTGACAGGTTATAAGTATTATTTTATAAATTCCGTGTGACATTAAATTCTCGTGCTAAGCGCGAGTAATTTTACTAATTTAAAATATTTTAAAACTTCGTATAAAAAATTTATGGTCGAATAAATTTTGATTGATTCTCCAAATTTCATTTATGCGAAATTAATTGAAACAAAGAGAGTAAAAACATTTCTAACAATTTAAAAAGGTATTTTGAATAATTTATATATTTGTAAATTACGTTAAAAGTACTATAAATTACAATAATTAACAACTTAAATTACTTTAAAAAATAAAATAAAATTACGTCAATGAAAAATTTGATCAACTCTCCAAATTCTATCTATGTTACTGATCACATAAATCGAGATAAAAAAAATAACATATATTGAACTCGTGTTGCACGAGCTCTTGTATCACTGCAATAAAAATAAACACACAATTTTAGTTGTTCAGATAATTTTATCATTTTATATTTATTTTATCATTATTATAATATCTAATTTATTTCTTAATATTAATAATTATGATATAGTAAAAATATTATTTTATTTATTAATTAATTTTAAAGAGAATGTCAAGTCAAATATAAACGGGTAAACATGGAAGGGAGGAGTAAAGATTAGAACCACTTTTAAGATTTTTTTCTTTTGGGGTAAATTTTTTACTTTTTTTGTCCTGCGTTAGTACAAGAAAATAAATGCAAGGATTAATAAATTACTAAATTCAAGAGATTTTTCCCTCTTATTCCTATCACTGCAACTCTTTTCAAATGACATCCCACCCCTTTATACTCCCCACCCCCTACACCCCCCCACCCCCACAGGGTTTACATATATACTCCTCTTCTTCCTCTTTTCTCTCTGCTATTGTAATGCAACAGTTGCTTAATAGCTATGGTGGACACTAAGGATTTTATCAATCTTGAACGTTCTCTCTCTAACCCATTTGGCAATTTTTCTGATGGTTCTGCAATTGATGATGATTTTTCTGCTCAAAATTCTGTCAGCATTGATAAGAAGCTGCTAATCGATCTACAACACCTTTCTATTGGTCATGTGATCAGTGAAGGTCCCTATTCAGTTGTTTATGAAGGATTGTGAGTACCCTTTTCGTTTTCTTGAATTTTTCCCCATTTTCTTGAACCCCATTTATGTTTCTTGAATTAATTGCATTTGTGTTCAAGAATTGAATTTTGGAGTTTTCTTGATTTCTTGGGGGGTTTCGGTCTGTCAATTTGTTCGCTGAAGTGAAAACCCTTTTCTTTTCCGTATCTTGGTTTATGTTTCTTGAATTAATTGCTACATTGTTTGTTATCCTTCTTACAAAGAACAAAATTCATATCGACCCGTGTAGTTCTGGGATATTGTGTGGCGCTGTGCTTAGCTTTGTTGCCTAATTTATTCACTTCCCTCATTCCTCTTCCCTAGTAAAAGGGTGATGAAAGAATTTTACTTTTGGTTTGTGTTTCTGTTTTCTATGCTTGTATTTGTATTAATGGTATTTCAATTGTCAGCATTGTCCCTTTCATCTTCCCTAGCATCTCAAAATTGGACTATGTATAATCAGAAAGAATTGTCTAGTACTTGTGGGAGTGATTAAGTTCAGCAGTTCCTTGTATAAAATTGTAGACTATATTGTTGATACAGTTGTTTCAAGCACCAACAGAATGAGCAATGCTTAATTCAAAGAGAGGAAAGAGAGGAGGATTTATTATTCAATTTCATCTGAATTCATATTTTATGTGATGGGCAAACTCAAATTGAAAGCCTAAATGTCTGAATTCTGAGGAATCAGAAAGTATGCTATCTTGATTAATTTTTACTGCTTTCAAAGTTCCAATTGTGCACAGATTAGGCTGTCGGCGATCAAAAGCAGAAAAAAATGTCTTAGCTAAGCTCACACATTCCTTGGATCTTTCTATTGTCCCGAGGTTTACGCCTTCTCTTTTCGGTTATAAAATTTATAGTGAGCTAATGGTTCACGTCTTCACGAGTCTATGCTAATGCTTTCACACTCAATTAGAGACTAGGAAGGAGAAAATGTCTACTTACTTAGTTTGTCTATAATATCTGCTGACTACCAATAGTTTGTCTAATTCGTTTGGCATTGAGTTCAGTGGTAAATCTTATCCTTTTCTCCTTATTTGTCCTAATCTGACATTGGGAGGCTAGGAAGTGAACTCTACTGAGATATAGTTTCACTGTTTTACCTTATTGACTAAAGGACTAACCTTTGTCTAGGTGAGGATTGAGTGAACAGGTTCCTGTGCTCTTATTGAGCTTAGATATTTAGTGAACTTTCAACCTAAATCTGATATAATCATCTAGGGAAATATATTGTTGCTTTGAATTGTAATCTTATCAATTTTGGAGAGGGTTGAAGAATTACAAAACTAAAACAACCAAATGCATTCTCTTGGCAATGAAGTAGAGACTCGTGATTGTTTTGTTGATTTTTTCTCTTTCAAATTTATATAACTAAAAAAGGAAAGAAAGAAGCTATTTATTGGAATTCTAATCAAAGTCCTCATCTGAACTTACATTTCATTTGATAGGCAAAGGCAAAGTGAAAACTCAGAGGTCTGAATTCTGTAGAAAGAGAAAGCATGTTATCTAGATTAAACTTTCTTACTTCCAAAGTTCCAATTGTGCACAGATCAGGTTGTCGGTGGTCAAAAGCAGAAAAATATGTTTTCTAAGCTCACAAATTCCTTGGATCTTTCTGCAGACCCGTGTATTACGTCTTCTCTTTTTCGGTTATAAAAGTTATAGTGAGCTAATGGTTCACGTCTTCACGAGTCTCTGCTAAAGCTTTCAGTCTTACTCAACTAGAGACTAGGAAGGAGAAAAATGTCTACTTAATTAGTGTTTCAGCTTATGTTTAGATTTTTCTGACCTGCTGGCATTTCTAATAAATTTTCGTGACAATAATATCTGCTGATTACCAAAGATAGTTTGACTAATTCATTTGGCATTGAGTTCAATAGTAAATCTTATCGTTTTTTCCTTATTTGTCCTAAGTCTGTAATTGGGAAGTGAACTCTATTGAGATATAGTTTCACTATGTTACTTTATTGACTAAAAGGACTAATTTTTGTTAAGGTGAGAGGATTGAGTAAACAGGTTCATGTGCTCTTATCTTTTAATCCAAGTGCATTCTCCCGGCAATGAAGTAAGAACATATTAGGCTGCATAATAAGGTAGAAGTTGTAAGTTGATAAAAATGTTCTGCTTCCCAAATCATACATCTCTTGCTAGCGAAGTAGATAGATTTCTTTCTCTACCTTACATGTTATTCAGGAGCAAAATAGTGGAAATGAAATGATCTTTTTTAGAACTTAAATCCTCTCTTAACTCATCTCTCTATCCTTGTGATAGGTAGCCACACTAACTAATATACTTAGGAGTAAGATTATTAATGTAAAGAAAATAAATGTATCAGAGGAAACTATCCATAATGCATATATTTCATTTGTAATAAGATTTCTTAAAACCAACTTCCTTCCTCATTCAAAACTAGTAACTTTAGTCCAATGTTTAAAGAATTTGTATGATCTTTCGGATTTTTTTTAAACAAAAATTGACAGAGAAAAATGGTTCCATATCCAAACTTACAACACATCAAAATGATGAAGAGATATAAGGGTCTATTTGGACCGAGAGATTTGTCCCAATATGTTTCACATCTACTGTACAATACTGTTTGCAGATTGCAACCATTTCGATTTACTGATGGTAATTTATTTTAAAATACAAACTCCATTATGGTTTACATGATATGTTGTCTGAATTCATTTGAAATGAAACTAGAGAATTTGTAATTTTGGAATTCATAAATTCAGTTCCACTTCAATTCTGAATGTCTTCATTGAAGTGTCCCTTAGTGCATTTCAACCATTACTCGTAATTTCACCTCGCGTAACCATTGAAAACTTAGTTTCCTGCTCCCTTTATTGGTAACTGATACGGACATGAAGATAGCCAAATTTATGTTTGAGTAGATGTTTTCAGAATAAAACCTCATAATGTTTTCAGATAATAACTGCTTAGTTCATATCAGAAGAATTTGGTTCTTAGATTATCTACTTTAGTTATATATGGTATATATATATATACCCAAAACATCTATCTAGGATCTTCTAAATTTGGATTTTCCTCTCATTCTGGTACAACTAAAGGTTGATAGTGCATATTACATGGCTTTAAGGTTACTATATTTTGCACTCTTAAATGTAATCAGGCATTTCAATTCGTTTTATTTAAGGGTCCTGCTATTCTAAATCACTCTTTGTAATACTTGTTCCAGATATAAATCCATGCCTGTTGCAATAAAAATAATACAGCCAGACATGTCGGCAAATGTGAGTCCTGAGCGAAAAGTGAAATTCCAGAGGGAGGTTACTTTACTATCTAAAGTGAAGCATGAAAATATTGTGAAGGTATGGTGTTCAATAAAAAATAGTGATACTAGTTAATTTGTGTTCACTTTGTCTACCTTGCTTTTGCTGGCATCACTTTACAACACAGTAATAGAGTCAGACTCAAAATCAGAAAACAGTGATTGCTTTACTGGGTTTGATGTCCACTGAGAAAGGGAATAAAAGCCACGGCCTATGCATCATTTTTGTTATTAAAATTAGATATTTGGTGCTACCCCTGTAAAAAGAATATATATAAATCCAGATATAAAGTGAAAAGAATTCCTGTTTACTTCATACCATTTCCATGTGGAAACGATTTATTTATAAAGCTAGTGTGCTCCTGTCCTTTCTTCGTATTTTGTTAAGCTTTCTTGTATAAATATCCACGGTTGCATTCCCTTTAAAATCTATTTTAGTTATTTGGATTTACTTTTATATGGTGTAGATAATATCCATAACTATATACCGGTTTCTTTCTGAACTATTTTGTCGATTCTTGGTACAAAGTTGCGTCCTCTGAAACTTGATTCTTGTTTGAAATGGTTTCATCCCATGTTGTATTGCTGATGAGAGAGTTGGTCAAACTAGAAAACTGCATGCTGGCTCAATATGTATTGAATGGTCCATTATCTGATAATTGCTCAAACTTGAGGACAAAGCTGACCTCAACTAGTTAGAAATTGTGGTGCAAGTGTTGTTGTACTCAAACAGAGGGCCAATGAACTAGCAGGACAACGGATAAGTTTCGAAAAGGTTGCCGTTTATGCCACTGTGTCCTAAGTACTAGTATCATATCAACTTTTAATCTATTCTTTTTCAATTTGTTCCGGACATCATGCCTTTGTTTTCCGCTTCTCTGTCCCAAGTATATACTCAGACAAACTGTGTGGTTAATTGTTTATGTCTTGGGAAGAATAAATGCAGGAATTAGGAATGATCCAACTTTTAAGCTCCTTAGCTGTTAGATTGTTGAGTTTTTATATATATATATATATATGTTTACACCTATATTTAATGCAATAGTGTTAGTTTCGTACAACAGTAAAATACAGGCACTGTTAAGTGTGTCTGTAAAAGGATTCAAGCGTCAGGCATTAGTCTTCAGGCACTTCTTCAAATTTTGTCCTGTTTCTCTCATTTCACATTAGAAGGGAAGCTTGGGACAACAGTAGAGTTGTCTCCGTGTAACCTATAGGACACAGATTCGAGTCGTGGAATCAACCATCGATGCTTGCATCAGGGTAAGCTGCCTACGTCATACTCCCATGGCTGCAGCCGTTCCTCGGACCCCATCTGAACTGTCAACGCGGGATACTAAGTGCATTGGACTGCCCTGTTTCTTCCCTCATTACACATTATTGTGCAGAAATTGCCTTAAAACAATCCTTCTGTATGGTGATTGATTATTTCATTAGTTGCTAATATGTCCTCAAAATTGTTGAAATAGTTTATTGGTGCTTCCATGGAACCAACATTGATGTTAGTTACAGAGCTAATGAGAGGTGGCACGCTTCAGAAGTTCTTATGGAGCACCCGACCACAATGTCCAGATTTGAAACTCTCTCTAAGTTTTGCATTGGGAATTTCTCGAGCAATGGAGTATTTGCATGCAATTGGCATTATTCACCGCGACTTGAAGCCAAGTAATGCTCTGCCTATCTCGTAATTTGCTATTGCACTTCCAATTGTTAAGTTTTAGGTGGCTAATCACACTCTGATCAGGATTACTGCTGGCTTGAGTTGCATGAATTTAAGTTTATGATCCTTTTTATGATTTAGCTTGAACATAAGAAAACAACTCAATTTCAAACCCAGACTAGTTGGAATTGTCTATATTGAATCCTTATATCCATTTTACTCCATGTGTGCCGTTTTCATATCAATACCGTACTATGCCCACCCTACTCACTTGTTTCGTCGGTTAACACAATATTGTTTGCAAACACATGGACCATGTGTCACCTATCATGTGAATAAAGCCTAATTTCTAAAAAGGAAGGTTTGATTCTATTTCATTACCAGTATTTGCTACATTTGTAGGTAACTTACTCCTCACAGAAGACAAGACAATAATTAAACTAGCTGACTTTGGGTTAGCTAGGGAGGATGCAGAAGCTGAAATGACAACAGAAGCTGGTACATACCGCTGGATGGCTCCGGAGGTATTAATTAAATTGGTCGGAAATGTTTACAACCTGCTTAATAATAGTATATGTCTTACCCTTTGTCAATGTCAGATGTTCAGCATGGACCCAATTAGAATTGGAGTGAAGAAATACTACAATCATAAAGTGGATGTCTACAGTTTCTCAATGATCCTGTGGGAGCTGCTCACAAACAGCACTCCGTTTAAGGGAAGAAGCAACATTATGGTGGCATATGCTACAGCTACGGTATGTTTCTACCTTTTTGTGTCTATTTTGACTTAAAATGTCAGAGTTGATCAAAGTTTTCACATCGAACAACGTTTCAGTGATTGGTAAAATTCCTTTCCTCTATAAATTCCAGAAAATGCGTCCCAGCATGGATAACATTCCGAGTGAGATAGAACCCCTTCTTAGCTCTTGCTGGGCAGAGGATCCAGCAGAGCGGCCAGAATTTGAGCAAATATCAGATTTCCTTGCAAACATTCTTCGCAATGTGTGTGGCTCCCTGACTTCTTCTCCCAATCTGTTTGAGACGGAGCATCCCACAGGCAATGAGTTGGTCAATTCTCCTGTCACAAATTGTTTGATGGACAAAGATGCAGAAAATAGCAAGAAAAAACACAGGAGTTCATGTTGCTGCTTCATGAGTGCATATGACAATTCTCTCTGAGACATTATTCTTAGGATATTAATATAGGTGTAAATAATTGAAGGACTTCCCCGTCCGTCTTCTTTCGCCAGTTTTATGATATGTATAATATGAAGTAGAACAGCCTTCAATGCCTCCAAAATAGACCATCATTGTACAGAAAGCAATAGAACAGAAAACAATATTATCTTTTGATGCACTTTTCCTTGCAATTCTCTTGAGTATTCTTTTTCTGTTTGTTTGTAAAAAAAATGTTGGCAGTCCAAATGCATTAGTATGTAAGCGGAGAATACAAATGATTCAAACATAGAGTGGATCCTCAGGTCTAAATGTGTATTGAGTTCAAGGAAGGACCTCTTTGACCACGAGAATTATAAAAAAAAAATCGGAATTTATTTCACTTTACACCTTCAAGTCTTATTTGAAATTTAGGAAAACATCCACATTTAACACTAATATATACTATTATATTTATTTAAGATTCTTTGGATAATGATAGTGCCAAATGGATTTAAGTTAATAATTTAAAACTATATACCCCAATCAGAATCATGTGTCAATATAAGCAAACTAATTAATTAAGGCCTGAACCAAATCTCTATCCAAATTGTTACATGTTGAACTTTACAAATGAGTCAAATTTATTAGTTCAAGATCCATTTAGATACTATTTTATCATAAGGCCTTAACTTATGCCACGTCATTTTGCACTTAGTCAAATTTAGGTAAATAAAATTATATTATATGTCAATTCTCCTTTTTTTTAAAAAAATTAGATGTTCGATATCCATATTAAAGTTCAACTAAATTTGAATTCGTAAAAAAGTCTAACATTAATCATGGATCATATTAATAAAATGTCAATTGTCAAGTGACATGATAAGCCAAATCAAAATCAAAGCTAATTTTATTTTTGATACGTGTCAAGGTTAGATATTCTTTCATTTTAAATCACTTTTACTATTCATAATAAATTTTGCATTCTCTTTGTAAAAATAAAATATATATTTAATTATACTCATGTTGATTAGTTTATTATCTCAACAAACTTGAAAATGAATAGTTGATATTAGAAGTATAATTTAAAAAAAATTAATTTAATGAACAAGTAAAAATGAAGAAGAAAACAAATTGGGAGTCCTATAAATTGTTGGCTTGTGATTCATATCCACTATAGTTTGGCCAAGTCTTGACGCTGTTTTCTTGTCACGTGTCATCTTCCCCTCAAAACCCTACAATTGTACTTAAAACCCCAATCACTTCTTACATGGCACACACAAATTAAACAAAATATTTTGACTAAACCGTCTTCTTTCTGTCCAAAGTTTCAAACCCAATAACCAAGATTGTGTTTTCTTTATGGCAGCTGTTGTTTAGGATGTTTTTTTTTTTCTTAATCTCCTGAGGAATCAGTTGGGGGTGGGATAAAAAACTTTAACTTTTAGGAACCTTCTGTTCCACCTCAGATTCAGTACACAGGTCAGCTCTCCTCTCCCCACCACCTTTATTTTCATTGTTTTTTTCTTTTGTTTCTTACTTTCTAGTATTTGTTTATGAATTGTTTGATTTTGTGTTTGCTAACATGCTAATACTCTTCATACACAATGACCGACAACTCCAGGAGAATTACCCTTAAAAGATTTAAATTTTAAAATTGGGATCTTTTTAGTTGTCAGTGGTTTTCTTGATTCTTGTTACTGTTGAATAGTTTTGATTTTTTTAAATTTTTTTTTGAGTTTGATGATCAATTTAGCAAGTTCCAAAGGTTTCTTGAAAGTAAGTTCTTGCAATTAAGTTGTTTAATTTTGACAAAAGAAAACCCAATTCTCTGACCAGCTTTGTGTTGTGAATTAAATATGCCTATGATTCAAATCTTTTTTGGGTTTATGTAAACTTTCCAAAATTCTCCATTTCTTCCTTGGGTTTAATCTTTTGCTGTAAGGTGTGAAAGGCATGTTTCTTAAGCAACATCACACCGAAATTTGGGTAATCTGACGAATATTTGAAGTTTTCTTTTAAGCTAGATTGATTAACCTTTTATTTAGCAATAAAAAGGAAATTAATACAAACTGGATGCTGTTTTTCTTGATTTTGGAGGAGGAATGGGGAAATAATAGGCGCTCTTGACTATTGCAAAATTGGTTTGTTTTTCCACAAAAGCTCTTTCCCTGGGGGAGTTGTCAAGCAGAGCCTGGACTGAAATTGGTTGTGATGTTCAAGATTATGTTTTGTTTGCTATACTAGTTAGAATGATCTCTGTGATTTTAATCCTTTGTAAAACTTGTAAGTGTAACACAACATTAACAAGCCGTCTTTTCTTTTTAGGACTCAGCTTTCTAATTGAGCATCACACACGCATCACAAATTTATTATTCAGTAGTAAAATTGATTCGGCAAAAAACCAGGGAAAATTTTGGTATGGTTGATCACTAATTACGTACATTACTGCCTTTAAGAATATAAAATATTAAACTTGCCATCCACAACCTATTTTTATACTATTTTTTTGTTTCTTTTCTCAACTTGGAATTGTTGTATTAGTTAGACTCTGCGAGGAATGATTGCATAAGATTTTGATTCTTCTATAATGAGTTTAAATACATGCTCGTAAAACGATATAGTTCTGCCTAGTTCTCTTTGCTATACAATGCACTTTTAATTGATTCAACTAGAATTATGTCATGTCTATTAGTGGGGCGGCTTGCAGTGGGTGAGCTTTTGGAAAATACATTATTTGGATATTAGGTTAAGCATTCTATTTCTGAGTGGACATTTATTGCCATTTATTTATAAGAAAAGGTGAACAAAAGCTGTGCCTGAAGATGGTGTACATAGATGTTGGCTGTATTCTTTAAGCAAAAACACCAGTATCAGGCGCAGAAAGATTTAACATCAAGAAGACGTGATTAATTTTGTCAACTTTTTTGCAATCAGTCATTTGTGCAGGATTGGCATTCTGTTTTTGGTGCAATTGGTCTTTATGGGAATGATGTTGAAGCCATGAAAAGTATGGACTAGCAACCATTAAGGAAAAACTTGACCTTTATTAATGAATGTCATTATCTATATTTTGGACTTTGATTATGTAAATAGATACATCCAGTAGCTTTTCTCCAGATTCATCATGTAGCCATGTAAATGACTTTCCTTGTCTTGATTTTCTGTTAGTCTACAATGTTCTCTTTTGAAGAAAACTTACCAGATAGCAATTTCTTTAAGAAAGTACTTTAATATTTTTAATAAGATTTAGTTTGAAATGAGTACACATCTTATTTACACAAATATCTCTCTTAAATTTGTGCTTCATTTTCTCTATATTTGAGTCACATACAGATCGTTCTGCAAGTTTAAAAGATTGCTTTGCATGGCTTTGTAAATTATTTATTCTTTAATGGAATTACAACTTCTTTCATCCTTGTTTCTATCAGCTTCATGATACAGGTGAATCGTTTTTGTGTAGACCAAAACGAGGAAATATGACATTGTTTCTCATTGTTATGGTATGCATGGTGTGTACGGTCTACTCTTAGGCAGAGAGGTTTAAAGAACTTGTCTACACCTATGTTGCGTGAACTCTTCAAAATCCCTGCCACACCTGTGTCGGCACGGCATGGGTGTGAGATTCTTATCGGATTTGGTCAACTTACCTTGGGTAATTTGACCATATTCTATGATCGAGAGTATAGATTGACCATATAAAGTATGAGAATGCTTTTCCATCATGCGAGAAAAGATAAAATATTGGTGTTTGTAAGGAATGAAGTTATTAGTTTTAGCTCAATAACTCAAACTAATCGAAATATATACTTTATATGTCGTAATATACATTTATTGGCTGCATCCCAACACCCGCATCCGCATTCGAATTCATATTCCAACAACAACAACAATATACCTAGTAAAATCTCACAAAGTGAGGCTAGGGAGGGTAGGACTTATATAGACCTTACTTCCATCTCGTGGAGGTAGAGAGACTATTTCCGGAAGACCATCATCTCAAGAAAGTTAAATCGAAGTAGTAATGAAAAGGAAACACGATAGTGAAGAAAACATGGCAACTTGGATCCATACCCCCGATCTTAAAATTCGTGTCATGAAGAATCCGACCTCTAGATCTACACTCGGATCGGATTCGCGCACCCTAGTCTGAGCAACATAGATCTATACCGATATATTTCACAAGTGTAATTTTTTGATCATTGTATTTACATCAAGCCAACCGTAACTAATGTGGATTTGAGGCATGATCTTTAGTCTTCTTTTTGTGTCATAAGGTTAGCTTTCGAGGCGGAATTTGTATATCATTTGTTTATTAGAAAGCCAAAATCTGTATACTTGTTCATATGACAATGGCTCATGAATTGACAATTTTCACGCTGGCTGCAAGCCTACCACAACCCTCGTCCTTTTCGGTTTGGGACTGGCAATGTGAGCAATCACATGGAAGGAAGTTCTCTTGAAAGACCTATGTTTTCTTGGGGTCAATGCCTCACAATGTAGACTTAGCTAAAGATAGGGCACAATGGTAGAAAAGGATTCATATAGGTGATATCTACTAGTAGGGAATATGATTTAGTCTTGTTAGAGAACTTCTAATATTATTGTTATTTATTATAATTACTATTATTTATATATATAAAACTTATTTTTCACTTTTATTTTTACTTGGTTTGATGATAACATGAGTTGAGCTTAAGAAGTGAGGATTCATATAGTCAAATTGAGATTGAGCATAATATTTGTTGTTGTTCCTATGACAACGAAAGAAATAGTCCTTATAGATGCAAAATGGTAGGAGTTCTAACTTCTACTTATCCAAAAAAAGAAAATGGAAGAGTTCTAATTTATTTTCCCTATTTATAATCTATCTAGCCTTTAGCTGAGCAAGCCATTTTTGGATTATTCACGTGGATACCCGCATATACAATTGATTGACCCAATGGGAGCTGGGGAAGAGAGCACTCCTACAAAGACTTCAAAGCCGCCATTAACTCAGGTCCCTTTCTTTCTCTTTATTGTCTTTTGTATGTTTTACGGCTAATCAATCATTAAACACGTGCTATTCTGTCTCTCTGTGTGTTAATGCATGTGTCGGCTCACTGCTCACAAGTTTTCTAATGTTTGATCAGGAGACACCAACCGCACCTTCATATCCTGATTGGTCAAGCTCTATGCAGGTTGTTATTAAGTTCCATAATGATTAAGCCAACCACATGAATGCTGATGAATAATAATTTAGTTTTCTATTTCTTTTCCTGTTTAGGCTTATTATAGTGCTGGAGCTACTCCTCCTTTCTTTGCCTCACCTGTTGCTTCTCCTGCTCCCCACCCATACATGTGGGGAGGTCAGGTAATTGATTTTCTGTTCCTAATTTATTTGTTCTTTTATTTCTTTTCGATTACTAGCTACACAACCTGTGAACTCACAGTACTACTTACTCTGATCACCGTCTCATATTTCAGCATCCTCTTATGCCTCCTTATGGGACTCCAGTTCCATATCCAGCTTTATATCCTCCTGCCGGAGTTTATGCTCATCCTAACATTGCCACGGTAATCAAGCTTATCCGTAATTTATTCTTATGAATTTGAAAGCTGATAAAAGCAAGTTACCTCTTCTTCCCAAAAGAAAAAATACAATAAGACAGGTCATGTTAATATTTTTGTTCATGTATTTTCAGCCGGCTCCAAATATTGCGCTGGCAAATCCTGAATCAGATGGGAAGGGGCCTGAAGGGAAGGATCGGAATTCAAGTAAAAAGTTAAAGGTCTGTTCTGGTGGCAAGGCAGGCGACAATGGGAAAGTTACTTCGGGTTCCGGAAATGATGGTGCCACACAAAGGTCTGATTATGAATCATATTTCTGTAAATTCTTCATTATGGATCATTCATGCATCTGATTGTTATATTTTTTCGTCAACAGTGATGAAAGCAGAAGTGAAGGTACATCAGATACAAATGATGAAAATGATAACAATGTAAGTATTCAGTCCGCCCCTGATTACCTCTTGTCTTTGTTTACATACCATGGAGATCACGAGTCTCAATTTTATTCTTACCTTGTCCCACAATTGCTAGTTGGAACTTTTTTTTATCATGTGCCATCTCACAGGAATTTGCTGCAAACAAGAAGGGAAGCTTTGATCAAATGCTTGCAGATGGTAACTTCTGTGAACTCTCTTCTTGATTCTGCCATTATTATTATCAACAAATAATTGAGTTTCTAACTATGGCGACCACCAGGAGCCAGTGCACAGAATAATCCTGCAAAAGAGAATCACCCGACTTCTATACATGGAAATCCTGTCACGGTACCTGCAACTAACCTAAATATTGGAATGGACGTGTGGAATGCAGCAGCTGCCGGTCCTGGAGCGATCAAACTACAGCCAAATGCAACTGGTCCAGTTATAGGACATGAAGGAAGGATGAATGATCAGTGGATTCAGGTACTTTTTCTTTTCTTTAGCTCTTCACTCACTGAAATCAGTACTGTTGTTCTTAACCAGATTTGTATATCCTTCAAATTCGCCAGTCTACCTGCTTATCTTTTAAAAAGCACATAAATTCCACACATCTAGTAGCAGATGGTATTAGTGAAGGTGGAATATTTTCTGATTACACAAAATTGTCTGTGTATCTTGATTCTTAACAGAGACTACAGAAAGTTCCATATTAGTATGCTAATGAAAAAGACTACTTTATGAAGAAAGATCATAACCTGAACAAAGTTATGAAAGCATCCAACACTCTGATTTTATAAGGCTTCAGATGTTTTGGTTAGTCCAAAAATAGCTGAGACTAGTAATATGCCAGAAAACTCCTGAAGACTGAATCGGTTTCAATCTTTATGGGATAAAATAACCTGTTTGTAGGATTCAATTTTCTAATATAATTTATTGCAATAACAATTTTTAAACCTTCATATGGTTCATTAGTTTTTAAACATGCTTCATCTTGATATTTCCGTCTCTGGGTACATCAGGACCTTGTGCTATTTTGAAGTTCATTGTTCCACTTTATGACACACCCTACCCCTAAAAAAATACATTCGTGCTTATTTCAAGTAGATCAATAAATTATGTAACACACGAGAGACAACTTTTTACATTCCACATCCCCTTCATTTTTGTGTGCAAGAGGGGAGTACACACTCAATGATGGGGTTTTAGCCTTGTTATCATTGTTTTTCTGTTTCATTTTGTTGATAAATTTCGTTATAACCCTCTCTTAACAGGAGGAACGTGAACTTAAAAGGCAAAAGAGAAAGCAATCTAATAGGGAGTCAGCTAGGAGGTCAAGGCTCCGCAAGCAGGTATGAGTTATTTTTTATATAAATAATAATGTTACTCTTTCCGTCTTTCACCAGTCAGTTGGCTGTATGTCTTGTATTATTAGCTTATAAAGGTTCTATGCGTGGAGACTAGGGGTGGCAAATGGGCGATTTGAGCTAAATTTGGGTGGGTTGGGCAATGGCCCAACTTGCCTTTTACCTACATATATTAGCTAATAAATTTAATAATAATTCTATTTTTCTTTGTAAGCAAAATAGCTATTTTAATCTTTTCTCCATGGAGATTGATTAACAATAACAACTTATGAACTTTTATCGATTTCATTTTTTTATTTCCTTTGTAGCTTTCACATTTAATTAGTCCAGCAATTACTTGCAGAAAAGATTGCACGAAAATTAGAACCACTCAAAAGCTACATGGTTTTTAGTTTTTACTTAATTGAGAAATCTGCAGATTACTTTCTACGAATTCATCAGAAAATTTGACAATGAGTTTTAGTACTTAATACAAAAAATTAAAGATGACTTTCTGTTACTTCAACCGAGAAGTTTGATAATGACGACATATATTAGATATGCTAAAAATTGTTAACTATTGAAGAGATGAATTTTGTTCCAGAAGGGCTCCCACTTTTTTATATTTATATCTCTGTCTTTGTGATTTTTTAATTATTTTCTAGTTAGGGTTTTTCGGGTCAATTTTGCCACCCCTAGTTCAGACTCAGACATTTGCTTGAAGCAGAGAGACTTAAGATCATCCTTTTTACGCCATCATATGGCACAATGATCTTTTTGCATTGTCGTCTAGCCACATAAACCTAGATTGATGCTGCAAGTTCTTGTTTCATCCAAATCCTCAATGTCTTGTGATGATGATTTTTTCTAGTTAATTGGAACACATTTATGAAATGCTCTCCAGCATAAATCATAAGCACCTAAGAATATGGGAATACAATTGGATGTGATATCTACATATCACATGCTCTAATCTGCAGATAGTGTTTTACGGCCCTAGTTACTATAACTTCTTTCTTAGTTTTTTCCTTTTCTTGTCCCCCCGAAAAAACAAGATCATGTCTCTCTTTATATTTTGATTTGTGAAGACAATGGACATCACATGAGAGAAAATTTCTTTGAGTTGGGGAACACAAATGAACGGATGGTATGTATCAAAATTGGAATATAATGTGAAAAAGCAACAGCAGATGCATTCATATCAAATATCAACTAAAACAGACCACTTATAGATAGTCTCCCTAAAACCACTATCTTCTTGAAGGCTGATAACCTGTTCTCAAAAGTAAGTCTATCCCAGCTATCTCCCAACCCTTTCCAAAGAGAATCTTATATCAAATCCTAGTACAGCCTCTTTTATGGACCGTTAATCAATAACATCCCAAGAATCAAGATGCTGTTACTTTACTTAAAAGTACCAACATTACATTCTTACAGGTTCTGAGAACTGAAAAAAACAATATGCAGCTGCTAAATATAACTACTGATCCCTTCTGATGTGAAACTGTTTCCTTATCTTCCTAGCCAAACCATACTGTGCAAACGTAGGGAGTAAAAAGTTATCATTATGAGAGACATGGTTGGGTAAGTGCAGCCTCTAATGTCGAATATACCCTCCTCTAACTATCAGTTAAGATCTTGAAAATCCTTTATCCATCCTCAGTTTGATTGGTTTAATTGAATAGGAAGTGGATAGACACGTAAATACCATTATAATTTCTCATGGAATGGGGATTAATGCATAACTTAGATGTATCCAACCAAAAGGATAAAGGAGAAAAATATAAGTGCAATAAGATGCTTACATCTTTACCACTATCAATTCACCCAGATGCTACTGTTTTCTCCTAATGATAGTTATTTGTTAAAATTAAATAGGAACAGGAGGTGATGGTAAGTGTCATCAAATTAATGCCAAGAAACCAAGGAAATAGCTGCTTTTCATTTTAGTGGAAACTCAGAAAAAGAAAGAACAGAAATCTTGGTTTGGTTCTTATCTGCCGTAGTTTAACAAACAGATTCTGCTGTAAACGGATAAGTCACTATCCATGATTTGGATTAAGGGAGAAGACTCACCTACATTCGGTGTATACACTGAGACTAGTAGATGATTGGAACCATTGTGAGAGTATCACTTTTCACTATAAGATAGGGCAGAAATTTATCCATGGAGTTCATCGTTGTGCATGTGGACGTTTTCTGTCATTGTATATGACATCTGTTTAGAATGAAGTAACAACGTATGGCTTAGTGTAAAAATTCTACCATTTTGCCCATACAAAAACATGATACTCCTTTCCGTTCATGTTACAACAGCAACTAGCATTTCGATGGGACATCAAACAAGCCGGCTTTAGCTCTTGACCATTGTTCATGTATGGTTTGGTTGTTTGCTTTGCTCCAATTGCTGGAGAACCCAGAATGTACTCTAAATTTATTTTCGATCTTCTGACAGTAATGTATTACGTTATGTATTTTCGCAGGCAGAGTGTGAAGAGCTACAACGTAGAGTAGAAGCATTGAGCCATGAGAATCATTCACTCAAAGATGAGCTCCAACGGCTCTCTGAGGAATGTGAGAAGCTTACCTCGGAGAATAATTCGATAAAGGTACTTTACACCTTCATAAGTATTCCTCTTAACTTTACCCTTCGGGGTGGCCCAGTGGTTTGGGCTTGGACTTCCATGTTGGAGGTCTCAAGTTCGAAACCCCTTGCCAGCGAAAGCAAGGGGTTTGTCTTCTGGGTCGAGCTCGTCGCACCGGGATTGCCTAGTGCGGGTTACCTCTCCTATGTGGTTTGCGAGCTATTGCATAGGAGCGGGGGTTTTACCCTGTGTGCACCTAAAGGGTAGCGGCTGCGGGTTTTCCTTGTCATAAAAAAAAAAAAAAAAGTATTCCTCTTAACTTTTGTCCTCTTTGATTTTCCGTTCTTCTCTTTTTAAAGTAATATTCTCAAGTACACTCTTCATGTCATCCCCTATTTTCTTTCCCTCCTCTGTGACACCTTATAAGGGTAGTACAGTTCTGATTCTTGAATAGCTTTTTGTTATAAATAATGTGAGACGTTTAGTATCATTGAATCTTTTGCTGCAGCATCCATTCATCTTGTTCTTTAGTGCTAGTACTTTTTTTTCCCTTGCAAAGTTGTTTCTTTTAAACCTGACCTAGCAAGTTGTGAAGGCGAGAAAGATGAAATTACTGATATTTGTTGGAATATGATGGTGAAACAGGAAGAGTTAATACTACTTTGTGGACCAGACGTTGTGTCTAAGCTAGAGAGGAATGATATTGCCGCACGTATTCAATCTAATGTTGAGGAAGCTAGTTAAGGAGAAGTGAAAAATCCAGGACTGAGTAGGTGATTTTAGTTACAAAGTGCTCACAGATCATTGCTTTTTTGGTGCAGCAGAATGAGAAATGTTTGTTGTCCTACTAACCTATACCCCCTTTAGCTCCCTTTCTGAGTGTGACTGTAAGTTGTAACATATATTTCTAACCCCAGTGTTAAGAGTTTGAGTCTGTTTAACTTATCTTTAAATTAACTTCAATAGTTCAGAAGTCTTCAAGTGATGTTGGAATTTTACCCTCATGTTATCCCTTTCCTGGCTATCTTTAAAGTCCCTTTCAGTGATTGTCATATGGGTTGTGGTGCAATAGTATTCCTCTCTAACCAAAGGTCTCGGGTTCGAGCTCTGGATATGTAGAGAATTATGTTGGGAGCACCACCCCCGAAATGTGCTCTGCTATGTGCGCTCCAGATACCCAAAAAAAGAATATCGATTAGGCTTTGGCGAGAAAAAGGAATGCCTTTTCTGGTAGGTTGGTGGTTATTTATTTTGGGTTACCAATCAATAGTTACTAATTATACAAAGTTACTTACGTGCAAATTTCTTTTTCATTGCCAGACGCCAGTATGTGTAAAATTGGTCCATAAAAAGCTTTTTCTTAAGATCACTCATTCTCAAAACTTTATTTATTTTTTTAAAAGCGGAATGATAATAAGCTATCACTGTGACGCTAGTAATTTCGTTTGGTGGACTCAAATTTTATACTTTTTAGTTTCATAAACTATGGGTTCACTTTGTTTGTGAGACAAAAGAAGTCTTACACAACTAATGTCAGTCTTATTATAGTTTTTAAACTTGTCTTAATATCTTTATAATATGAGATTTTATAAATTTGTGATCTCAAACATGTCATAACCGTTATAGATTATATAAAAAGGTGTGAAATTAATTATTTTAAAATGTAAAAGCATGTACATATCAAATAAAATAGAATGGAGTACTCATTTAGTAGTTCATAGTTTAACTGAAAATGGCTATGTATCCTTTCAAATTAAATAGTGAATGAGTTACAAATTGCAATTATCCACTAATTAGAGACATCAACCTTAAAGACTCCAAATTAAGCTACAAAATTACAAAAGATAGATAGTTACCAATACAATTGGATAAAGAAAAAAAAAGACCATGCAACTTTCTTTTGAGTTTTTTTTCTTTTTCTTAATCTATTGTTATATATGCTAAACCCAACCCCTAAAACTGAAACCATACAGCTAAAGATCCAAATCACTGCTATTATTAAATTAAAACTATAGTTTAGGGTTAGTTTTATTATTATTATTAACACCTCCAAGCTGACGTGGCTACTAGGGCCCTATCATGCCAGCAAAGCAACATCTCTGCTTGTCTCTTTGCCACGTGGAATCCTCTTACCTGTACCCTACCCAATAAACAATCTGCTTGAAAATCCGCAAACTGGCTTAATCCCACCGGCCGAAATCCGGCACCCATCATCGCATCCTTCCACGATCCTCCACCTCCACGCCGCCCTACTGCTCCGATCATATCAACTATCTTAGGGAACAGCACGAAATTCTCTATTTTCCTCATCCAATCCCCGCAATTTCCACCACCGATATTTGCTGCCTCCAGTGATTCCAGTAGTGTAGAGTAAAATTCCAGCCCGTCGATCACTGTCTGCCGGAAAGACATCGCACCGTAACCCATAAGTCCTTCGCTGTCCACGTGTACCACCACGTTAGGGGATATACGACGGAGGTCGTTAACAAACCCTGACCCGACCCGTCGGAAGATAGCGGGAGATAAAAGCACCGCTGTCTTCTCTCCCTCCATGAACTTTATCGCTTTGAAGGATAACAATTCGAATGTGCGAATTAGAACAAAATCAATTTCGAAACCGATATTGAGTTCACGAGCAAATTGGGTTAAATTTTCTCTAATTAACCTTGATTCCACAGCGTATTCTTCAGGAACTAGAGCCGTAATTCGAAGAACCGGCGCGTTGGCTTTACGGCACTCGGCTTTATCGGCTAACTCTTTCATGAAGGAAGCCCAGTGACCACCAAGTCCGATGTCGAAATCGATGACGTGGACTAGCATCGAGCCGTCAACTGCCTCAAGCACGGCCTGATTCGCCGTGAAGCTAGAGAACATAGGGATCGGAGAAATATTTGAGAATATTTTGTAAGATTTAATAGTTTGAATCACGTCAGAGGAACTCGAAGGACGAGTTTGCCGAGCTGATCCGGCGAGCTGGGCTTGAAGTGCTTCCTTGAAGTAAAAGGCAGCTCGTTGGAGAGGTTTTCCGGCGGCGGATCTGAGCCGTTGATTGAGCCGTGCCAGTATCACATGTGCGAGTTGGAAAGCGTTGGTTTCGAAACACTCGGCAAAACGGATGAGTTCATCCACGTAATCAAATCCTACGTTCCAATTCTGGTGGATATCACCGGAGAGATCAAGGGCGTTGATGAAACTTCCCTGATTGACCGCCGGGAACTGCTGAGGAAAAGCACTCTCGGAGAAAGAAAAATCAGGATTAGCAAACTGAGTGGAGTCAGCTGAAAACTCGGAGAGATTATGGAACTGAGTCAGCGACTCGCTCTGGGTGAGACTGAGTTGAGGATTAGTTTTTGAAAGCGAAGCAGAATCGTCGTGCAAGCCAAGTTCTCTCATCAAAGAATCCCAATCTTCAAAGTTAGTCAGAACATGATCTCCTAATTGAAGAGGATCTTCACCGCCGCCACAAAGAGCAGACAAATCAGGATTCGTTGTTATAATCTGCTTATCGACTATAGGGCTTGGGCTACGACGGAGCTCGAGGACTGATTTAGGTTCGTAGCACAAATTAGAGCCGTTGGTAGCGGCCGGAAAAGTAACGTTGTTCCGGAGATTATTGTTGCTGCTAATCAATGGCTTAGAACTTACGTTGTCATTAGTGGAAAAGGGCACTTTCATTTCTCTGTAAAAAGGAGAGAATTGTTGTTAACCGTATCCAAAGTCTCAAAAAGAGTATATGAAACTAACAAGAAAGTGCTTTTTTGTGTATTGGCGTGAGGCGTTTTAGTGTGCTTTAATAGAAGAGCTGTTGAATGGCTCTGAAAACTTTGGGGGAAAATGGAGGGTAGCTTTTTGGGGAGATGAATGATTGTTGGCTTTTTATCTTTGCGTGCGTGGGGGGGCTAATTGCATGCATGGAAGAGGCTTTAGTTTAAGGGGCGGGGCAGGGCAGGGATGGGGGTGGGGGTGCATTATATTATATGGGAGATGCATGGATATATAGTAATGTAGGGATAGTTGGAACATGCAAGACACGAGCATGAAGTGATTGATTTTAATTAGCTTTTTGTAGGATAAGAGTCGTGAAGGTGAAGTATTATAATTGTGTACCACAAAGAAAGAAAGTAAAGGGAAAAAAAAAAAGGCTTTTCTATACTTTTCCTAACACTTTATGGTGTCCAAACTTCCAATGCCAAATTGCTGATTAGCATGCCAAATATAATTATGAAGATGTTACTCTTCTTTCTTATGTATTTTTATGCTTCTTCATGAGTTTGATACACTTTATCCGAGGGATCTATAGGAAACAACTTCTCTATCTTTTTGAGGTAAAGACTCAAATCCTACTTAGTCGGATTTCACTGGATTGTTATTGTTTGTATGGTCCATCTTACTAGAAATAATAATTATCTCAAAATACTTGTTAGTTGACAAAATTAAGATAAAAGTAGTTCTAATTTTTTTCATTGTACCTTTACAGTTAGTTCCTTTTGAAAATATTAACAAGTTTGTATAGTTCTAAAAAAATAATAGTAACCTATCCTTTTCATTTTATGATATTTAAAAAATTTAATTATGTTGACCTATAAGTAGTAAGTTTTGTGTACTTTTTAAATAGATAAATTTTAATGAACTTGAAGAATCAATATCCAAACTACACCAAAAATTAGATATATTTAACTTGCACGATCTTCTAATTGCTTATTAGTTGAAGATCCTCGCGTGAAGCTTCGACGTTATTGCAAAATAGAGTATGTGCAATGCATGTCAAATTAATTATGCCCTGATGCTTTGTTAACAGTACGTATATACTTGTATATTAGGCAGTGCGTGGAGTAGTATTTTCAAAAGTTGAACATAATATTCTTGACTCTCATGTTTTAAAAATGAAGCTAAAATATAAATTAAAATGGAAGTGCGCTTACTTAACTATGACAATTTCCTAACTCGTGTGATTCGAATGAAAGTCAGATTAATTAGGAGTATTAGTTCATCAAATAAATACTTCCTTTGTCCAACAATAGTTGTCCATTATTAACTTGACACATAGATTAAGAAGCAATAAATAATAGGACTAATTTTACCAAATCATCCTTTTAAATATAAGTCATGATCGGAATGTTTAAAAATGAATAGTATTTAATAGTTCGGGTAGAATAGACATAAAATGGTAAAATAATTCAATTGATTTTATTTGTTGGACATTCAAAAATAGTATAGTGGACAAATAAAGATACACGGAGAGAGAGTAGTTACTCATGTTTTTTCCAAAATTTCGAGTCCGAAGACTTGTCATATATATCCTCCTCTGTTTAATTGGGAGCTGCTAGAAAGTAGTGAGTATACAAATTTAATTTTACTTCTCAATATACGTACGTAAATTAGTTGCTTTTAAAGCTGCGATTCGTTTGACGTCTGTAAATTAATGTCTTTCTCGTGGTAGTAATTTGGATTGAAATGGAATCAGTAGTCAAGTTCCCTCTCGTACTTTGCCTTATAAAAGAAGACTGTAGCTCGACAAAAATTTCGAGTTCAAGCTAGCTCTGGTATGAAAACCCTATTTGATAGTAACATGGCAGATCCAACATGATGTGCAATTGGTAATTACAACTCCTAGTAAGAAAGACCATAAGAAATGTATGTGTGTTTTTAAAGAGTTAACCGTAAAAAAAACACACCTAAAGTATTAAATCTTATGAATTTTATATTCAAACTATCACCAATTATTTATCAAAATACACACCTCAACTATCAATTACTATTTCTTTTCCGAACTAAAGCAAATCAGATATTTACCAAGCCAAAGTCAGGCAGTTTTAACTATAGAGTTAGTTACCTACAACTTCAACCAACAGACAATCATCAATTATTATAAAATATTTTACAATTAACGGACATAAGTAAAACTCAAAACTCTCTTGTTTAAAAGTTGAAATTAGGGGTGAATGAAAATGACAGAAAGTGGTGGTCAACTTTTGGGCTGTTAAAGTTGCATAATAGCCCACAGCTCTAAAGAAAAAAAAAAGTAGAAGGCCCCACAGAAAGAAAGTCCACAAAAAGAAGCAAAAGACAATAGAAGGGCTGAGCAGTGAAGCAAAGTGATGGGTCCCTGTTTATTTACCCATACTAAATACTAGTTATAATATAATACAAAGTTTACCCAAATAATTCATTACATTAATCAATAATTTATTCGAATCCATGAGCCTTGATTCTGGAGATCGCATATGGATCGTCCGATGATCCTTCTTGACAACAAGCATCTTAGTCCAAAAAGTCACCGTTGGATCTGATCGGATCAAATCGGGCCTAACTAAACAAATGCAGACCCTCATAAAGTAAAAAAATATTTCCCAACACTAAAAAGGCCCACATTATTGGGCCCTACAACAAGTGAGCCCATTATTGGGCCCACTAGACTCCTTTTTGTCTGAAATGTATATGCATGATAGTATGCTACTAGTGAATAAAGGATGCGCGTAGGGCACGCGTTGGGTGGAGGAAGAGAAAGAGGAAGATGAAGAGAATATATTCTTCTGTTGGTTAATGGGTGATAGTGCACTCATAATTGACCAATTCTTTCATTTCGTATTAGACTAGATGGATAATCTTTTGTCCATGCACGTCTAGGTCTTGTTTATCATGAACCATGATTTTACAACTTGAATCAGCGACCTAGTAAATTACAGGGAGTCAATTTTATATTGCTTCATTCAACACTCTTCTTCATGCCAACAAATAACTTATTGGAAAACAAAAAAGAAAGTATTCTAGCATACTAAAAAAGAAATAAAGAAAGAATGAAAAAAGCTTCTTTATTAACTTTTGAAATGACCTTTCTACTGTTTTCTACAATTAAAAACGTCAACATGATATGATATTAAGATTAATTAAGGAGATTACAACGCACTCGTTTCCAAATCAAGTTGATATGTTGCATTTTAATAGTATTATAGAAAGTTGTCAAGTCTTAATCAAGCCTTATTTTAGTCATTAATAAATATTTCTTTCCTCTCTGGTCACGACTTTTAGTTATTTAAAAATATGGTATAGTCTGAACGCTCTTATTAAAAGTAGTATCCAATACAATGAAGGTGTAATCATTCAAGATTTTTATGCTAATCTTTTTGTACAAATCATTATCGCTTTTACATAAATGATAACATAGCAAAGTTAATTTTATAGCAAATTAAAGTTATATTTCATGACTTTCTTCAGCTTTATGATTGTTAAAGATCAAGGGGTCCATAACATTAAACCTTAATTATTTTTTTGAAAAAATGCCTATTTTGTTTTTTTCTCTAAAAAAATTAATTGGAGGCATATGGTGTAGACCTATGCTATTTGTTTCTTCCAAGTGATTATAGCAAATTAAAAAGTTCAACTTGTCCGGACATGAGTTCTATACATGACCAACAATGGAGTCAAATCCTAGCTTTTGTGTTATTGTGTTGTCTTCTTTCTGTTGTTGATGGAGGTGGATCTAGAGAGTTAATAAAATATAAGAAGTATTATTTTTCGATATAGATTATACAAATATATATGTAAAATTTCATAAACAATCATTTGAATATTAAAGGTTGAACTTGTTAAATTTAAGTTATAGACCTAGCTAGTTTATTAATTACTACAGTATAATTTTATCGGAAGACATATCATACTCTATATATGAACTTTAATTTGTGAAGCTTTATTTTCTTTTGTATGTTTGGGTATGTACAAAACTAAGCTAGCACCATAGATAGTGGGTGTCACCATTTTACAGCAAATAATATGCCTCAATTGGTGGGGGAAAGGGTCTTTAAAGTTGAAGTGTTTTTTTTCTCTTTCTTTTTCTTGGTAGGTGGTGGGGGAGGGGAAAATGAGGGGACAAAACACAAAATCAATTTACACAAGACTGAATGAAGCTAAGTGATAGAATTGATAAAACGATAACAATAATACGGGACACGTAAATTCTTGATGTCTCCGTATAAACTACACAAGGATGTAAATCGCACTAGGCAAGTACTCGACTCAGAAGGCATTGAGGGGGAAATCGGTCCCAGATCATTCGTGTGGATAACCACCCTCCAAACCAACTGAGCCATCCCGAATGACATTTTTTTAAATTAATATAATATTATTTGTTGACATTCATACTTCAAAAAGTTCAAATGGTGTGTATGTAGACTTATTTCTACGAGTTCAGAGCCAAAACAATAACTTTTTTCTTTCAAAAAACATAAACATATTAAATTTTTATCAACCAAAAGGGAAAAATCTCTCCTGACGAAGCGATTTTCTTCTGACAAAATTAACGCGTTACTCCGTTAAAATAAAATCGCTGCCCCAGCAGAGATTTCATCCAATTTTTTTTTTCTTTTTTCCTTAACATTGCTGCCCTGCAGCATTTTTCTCAAAAAAAAATAATAATTTATAATCGCTGCTATAGCAGCATTTTTATCAAAAAGAATAAAATATTTTTTAAATTCCTAGCAGTGATTTTCTTGAAAAAAAGAAAAAATTGCCAGGCAGCGATTTTACGGAATTCTTTTTAAAAAAATCATTTAACCGTACATATGCCGCAGGAAATTCATTTTCCAAAGGCAGTTATTCAAAAAAAAATAGCAGCAATTTGAATACAATAACTTTTAATTTTCAAAATTTCTTTTCTTTTTTTAGAAAAACACTGCAGGGACACTGATGTTAGGCAAAAAAAATTGATAAAAAGAAAATTATTTGGACGAAATCGCTGTTCGGGCGGCAGCGATTTTTTTTGAAAGAAAAAAATTGTATTTTTGACTCCCCTCCTATTTCTATTATATGAAGGTAGAGATACTGTTTCAAATAAAAGAAAAATAAGCACGTAAAGCAAATAATAGGGAAAGTGCTAGTGCTATCGAAACGAAAAAAACAAAAATTCTCTATATGGCAAAGGGGATAGC